TGTGTGTGTGTGTGTGTGTGTGTGTGTGTGTGTGTGTGTGTGTGTGTGTGTGTGTGTGTGTGTGTGTGTGTGTTGCAAACATCCTCTAAAAGAGATGTATACCTTTTTGACTTTAATTTTCTCTGTTTGTTTGGTTTATGTGACGTACAAGACAAACCAAACAACCTTACCTTTAACACCTACCCACAGGCGCAAGAAAAGCCTTTTGGACGCTTTATTTTGAATTGAAAAATGCTCCTGAATACATTTAGAATTTTTAAGCAGAATATATTCTTTTCAAATCATTCTTCTGAATGCCAAATTGCATTTCACTACACATCCATGTTTGTGTATGAGGCAAATGTACCTTTGAGTCCCTTTGAGGCTATTCCTTGCTAACATCTCATGTAAGATAATAGCTACTAGACTAGAAGTATTAAAATGAACAATAAAGCAAGTTGGGCAAATACATGTGTCTGACTGATTTTAATGCTTTGAACCTAAATGTGATTAACCTTGTCGACTTTCACTTTTAGTAAGATTTCTACTTCAAAACTCTCTCTCTGCAGCATTTTTCTGCCTCACAATCCTAATTGTATTGATATTTTAATGATAAAAGAGAGTGCTGACACGGGCAAGACAATACAAGATCCAACAGCGCCTAACAGTGTCATATGATATGGGTTGCATCTTTTAGGCACATATATATACTCTATATAGACATATGTATATAGATATTCCAGCATTTCACACAGCGTTTGTATTGTGCCCTTGAGATAAAGGCCTATTAATCAATTCAGTTTCACTGGCATTGTCTTTTGCAGTACAATCGTCCTTGCTTGGAGGGTTTGCCTGCAGCCATTTCGTTTTTTCTACTATTTCAGAGATGCAACGTAGAAGAAATTAAATCAGATTCAGAAAATTCGAAAATAAAGGCCACACAGGGCTGTAAGGACGTTAGCAGTACCTCTGTACTGAAGCCCTGCTTTTGGATGCATAATTAATTATAGAAAATTGGCAAGCCACATTTTTTATTCCACCTTATTGTTTTTTACCTGAAAGCGGTGGAAGTCGGCAGGCTTGAAGTCATTGGGGGAGCAGCCGCACCAGTCCACGATGTGCTTGTACTGGCACTTACAGCCCAGTTTGCGGTTCCAGTTGGTGATGCGCAGGTTGTTATCCACCATGCTCTCACAGTGGGCGCTGTTCTCCAGCACTGTGTGGAAGAACGACTGGTGGGGGAGACGTGGGAAGAGGGAGAGGGCAGAGAAAGAAAGACAATATTAGAAAGTAGCACACATTTTTTTCAGAGAGGAAATAGAGTAGCAGCGACTTCAGCTATTTTCCAATTCTCGTATACGCTTGGAAAGTCAGCCTTCATGTTATGCTTTTATTTCTGCCTATGAGTTTCCCTACACATCTAATACAGCAATGATAAGTAAAAAGTGTATTCTGTTTCTATACGTGACAAAGGGGAAGAGCAAAGCCTGTGAGTTGAAGGTTAAGAAACACTTGAATGTGTAAAAGTTGTGTGTGTGTAAAAGTGGTGAGTGTAGATGTGTGTTACCTCGGCCGGCAGCAGAGTGTAGGAGTAGAAGCGCTTCATGCTGGTGACCAGGTCGTCCTTTGAGTTGATGACATATTCCACAAACATGCGGTTGAGGAGGAACCAGTCGGACCCTCCATCCACAGAGATGCCTTCTGCGATTTTACGGTCGCCCAGTCTCCACATGTGGGTGTCGCATTCGAAAAACAGACGGTCCAGACCCTGCTTACGGATAAACCTGGCGAGCACACGCAAACATATGGTTACACCGCTGAATGTAATTAAATAAACGAAACAATGAGAACTTTTATTTTTCAGTAAGAGAAACAAACAAGCAAGCAGGTGAAAATTAGACTTTCAAAACACCATTTACATAAAAAGAAGCACTCTTTAGTTCTTGTTTTATATTTAGAGGGACATTTGTGTATAATCAGAAGCTATTTTTTATTTTTTGCCAATTCTATTTTTAATTTCCAATAAAAAGCGGATCTGTGCCTGTCACAAGAGGCCTTTGTGGACTTCAGTGAACATTGTCCTCTTCCAGTGGGAGAAAAGGAATGCTTATAATAATATCAGGGGGAAAATTTGTTAAAAAACGAGGTGAGCTAAAAAAGAGAATACTATAAAGCAGGGTTGTCAAACTCAAATACACAGTGGGCCAAAATAAAAAAAATGGGTACTAGTCGAGGGCCGGACTGGTTCAATGTTTATTGCAAAACTTATTGAAATGAACTTATTGCACATATTAAACCTGGAACTAACAAAGCTTAAATGATTGCCTATAAAAACAACATTAAACATTAAATAATCAGTTGCATTAATTTCTTATGGCTCTATCTGCAGCTTCTTATGATTACATTTTTCCACAGGCCAACAACAGCTTCACAAAAACAATTTCCCTGAAAGAAAAAACCAAACATGCCCTGCTGTCTCAAGAGAAAAAGTGCAGAAGGAAACATCCATTGAAACTCAGTTTGCTCTGTGATGCTAGTTCAAGCCAGATACTTGGCATCTCATCTTGGGTGCAAGTTCATCAATGTTTGGGCTCAGGCTCTGAGCTGAGGAGATCCTCAGGGTTGAGTGAAGGTGTGCGTGCAATATACCGGCGGGCCAGATCTAATAGTAATTAGAAATTATCCTGCGGGCCGAAATGAAATCCAGCACGGGCCGGATTTGGCCCCACGTGCTGTAAAGTATGTTCAGCTAGACACAACTCTACAAAGAGAGATTACAGATTTGTCATGTTGATATTTTAAGCCCAAAAGCAATTTTTTTTTTTAAACTGTAAAGAAAAGTCCAATATTACAATATATTTTCTACTTTCTGATTGTATTTGAACACATGTTGTGTGATCCAGGCTTCCATCAGCAAACTAATTACCATATCTATGCTAAGTTATAATAATACATGTAAATAGTAATACATTTTTGTCCTAACCAGGTCCTGTAGAAAATATAACATTTTGCAAAGAGCCATTAATCACTCAACTCGACCGACAGTGACGTGAGAAAAACGCAGCAAAACTTTGACTGAACTACAGACTGTTGACACAAAGCACAGAGTGAAGGGCTAGAGTGGTTGTAAACATGTAAATTGTTTACTCTGTACAGCATGTGGAGCCCCCCATTTCCTCCAATATTGGTAAGACACTAAATAAATTATGAAAGAAATTCAAGTTGAGTTTTTTGTCTTTGATTACTGCATTGTCCTGCACAAAACACATTTTTGAGTTCTCCTTCGTCCAGCCCTTATTGTGTTGTATCCATAGAGGAGCAGGACTATACATGGAAATGAGTAAAATGTGACAGGAGCAAAAAGAGTTTCAGGGTTAGGGTTCAGGGGTTAAACCCTTATCTATATTATGTTAGTATTTAAACATTACATCCCAAAATGACTTTACTTTAGCAGAATCTTTGTCCTATCCTTGGCCTGAGACGACAGGAGAAATGTGTCATTTGCACGTTAACCAGCAACAGGCCGAGTGACACCCTGTATGCATAATGGATGGTGTTACTCCTACTGACGGATCGAGTGTTGATGGAGGGAGTCAAATTCTGGTCAGCCGGGTCAGACTGATCCCTCTGTTACCTGAACGCTGACTAACACTGATGTGTCGACCTTGTGGCTTAAACAAACATACGTGGAAGACATTTTAGAAATGCACTCATTCTGTGGTGTTGGTAAATATGAACATACAACCCCCATATTTAAAAAACTCAATCTATTAAAATGTGTTGACAGTAAAGCTTAGAACAGTACTGATTATGCACAACATTTTCCATAACAAAATGCCTAATAACATTCAAAAGCAGTTCCAAACCACAGTCAGGAAATACCCAACTAAGCATCCTAACTGGCTGTGTAGCAAGCCCTGTAGAACAACCATCAAATCACACAGCTTATCCATAATCGGAGTTAGAACGTGGAATGGACTTCACCCAGACCTTTCAAGTATCACTTGTCATCAACAATTCAAAACTAAATTAATATTTGCAGATTACTCCAGCTAACAAATATTGGGTATTCCCAGAATCAATTATTTGTTTTAGAAATATTAACTTCTCAGTTTGTTTATTTATTTAATATTGTTTACATAACTTTTTATTTATTTTTTCCTTCTTATTTATTTTCATCTTTATGCAGTTGAATTATAATTTCAGACCTGGAAATTGCCTTGTAATATTTGCATTGGTGTATATGAGTGCATTTGTGTACTTATACACCTTAACATATGGTGCTTATGTATATGTTGTGTGAACATATGAATGTAAAAAAAAGTCACTTGAAAATAAGTGTC